AAGAAGTTTTCACTTTAGCAGACCGTTAAAAGATAATGCAGTTATATATTTTTTAAGAATCTTTTGCACTTTGTAATTCCTCTGTATCACTGAACAAAACGGCAGAGGGTAACCATTTAATTTATTCCCCTTTACAAATTTCTGATGTTGTTGATGTGGTTACTTCTTCTCTGTGCACTGCTTTAGACAATGTAACCCCTTTGAAAAAGAAGAACTGTATTAATAGGAGGCTTAGCTCCTTGGTTTAATACAGAGCCGTGTACAGCGAAGAACAATTCTAGTAAACTGGAGAGAAAATGGTGCTCTATGTGTCTACAGAAACTATTTGATCTAGAAAAACAGTTTACTGCAGTATAGAATTACCTTTTGTGAAACAAGAGCAGAATATTTCTCTTCATTAATAGAGGAGAATAGGAATAATCTTGAATTTAACAAACTCACAAAGAGGTATAGCTCTGTTGAACAGTCCGTTTCCCCTGCTCTTAGTGTTAATGATTTTATTTGATTCTTTATAAATAAGAGTTATTACATTAAAAATAAGATCATGGCACCTCTAGATATGATGTGTTTATCTCTGAATGGTGAGGTTAATTGGACATAAAAAAAAAATAAAAAAAAATGGACATAGATATAGAACCTGAACTGTGTTTGAACTGTTTTGATCCAGATTAACTTTCAGAGTTGACAAAATTATTATCTTCATCCAAACCTTCAGCTTGTGTGTTGGATCCAGTTCCTTATTTAAGGAAGTATTCCCTCAGATTTCCCCCTACACTTTAGAAATTATTAACCTATCCTTGTTCCCTGTTAGGTAGGCCTAATTCTCTTTACTATATATTTGATCCCAATTAGTAGAATTATTACACAGCATGTGATTAATTTCCATTGTTATCCTGATGATACTCAGCTTTATCTGTCCCTGAATCCTGAGGAAACTAACCGACCAGGCTCAGACCATTTGACCCAGACAGAACTGGTTAGCTTTATTGAAAGCTCTGGATAATATGAGGTGTTAGCTGGGACCGGCTTGCTGGTGTCTCTTTAGAGACGGAATCACTAATTGGTTATAAGTTCAGTCCGTGTCCAGAGGAGGGAGTGGAAGTCAGTGGGATGACTTCTCCACTACATGTGGCGGGAACCGAACAGAGTGGTCCAGGAGCAGAGTAGAGCAGCCTTTAGAGCGGAAGCCAGCTGATGCTGAGAGCAGGAGAGTCCTGAGGAAGAATCCAGAGCAGGTAACAAAGCAGCAGTCCAGACCAGAAGATCAGAGAGATATAAAGGTACAAAGGGGATTATCCAAGCCGGTGTCAGGGGACAGATCCGAGTTTGCCATCAGGCAGAGTACTAAAATCAGTCCGACAACAGGAGACGGACAGAAACTGACCAAATCAGGGGCAGACCAAAACTCAAGAATCCAGTGCCAAAAACAGGTTAGGATCAGGTAGTCAAAAAACAATGCAGGGTGCGCTAGAAACTTCTCACACTTGGCCTCGAATAATTTTGCTCCGATGGCTGGAAAACAGGCAGTATATATAGGAGCTGGAAACGGGTGGATCAGATCAGCGGTAATGAGCAACCGGGCAGAGTTAAACAGGTGAATAGAATGAGAAATTAAGCCAGCCACAAGCGCAAAGATCATAATACTAACCCATCAGACTACAGGCATATCTTGAAGACGTAAAAACCTGAATGACTCTAATCCTTCTGCTTCTGAAAGCAGACAGAACAGAAGTTGTTGTATTTGGACCAATCTTTGAGAAAGATAATTAGAAAATGACTTCATCTGGTGAGATTAAATTATTATTAGTTTATAAAGTAAAAAAAACCTTGGTGTTATTTTTAATCAGGACTTGGAAATCCCATATCCAAGATTTTCTAGAATTCTTTTATTATCTTAGGGATTTTGCAAAAGTTGGGATTTTGCTTTTTTCCCAGTTTTTAGGTTTTTTTGTATTGTTTTGTATAATATCTTCATAATAGATAAATAATATCAAATAATTGGTTTCCTGTCTGAAAAACGTATATGCCCATATTGTGGCAAATAGTCTAAAAGGCAGTTAAGTACACTATGGGGTTTGAAGGTCTGTGCTATGATTTGGTTAAATCCTGAGTGCTAATGAAGAGATGTTGGAAAGCTGACTCCTGCATTATGAAGACATTGCAGTAAGTGAAAGCTTTGCGGCTCCCAACTGCTTATAAAGTGTTTCATGGCCTGATCTAGAGGAGATAAAAGCATGAATGACAGTAAGTCACTTTAAGTAAGTGCTGTTATCAATCATGCAACAGAAATTACTGTAGAGCATTTTTATGCTCAATGAAGGGATAATATATCTAAATCAATTAGAGGATACAATTAAATGTTTTGCTGAAATAAAATTGTTTAAACAATAAAACGCAATAACAGATTTTGCTTATTGAAAATGGAAAATAGAATTAAACAAAATTCCCTCAGTGTTTATCCAACTGCACATGATGTACTTAGATGCATTATTATTTTACCCAATCTTTTGGGCAAAGGTCCAAGCATTAATACCAGCGTATATCACACAGAAAGTTGTGCTTGCTGGTAAAATATTATGCAGTCAGTGACTGTTTACCCAATCCTAACACCAAAAGTCTTAATCTGCTGCTCTGGATGTCGCTTCACTTTAAAGCAATTGTGGGCCGTAAAAAGTGGGCCTTAATTATTTAAATATTCTTATTATTTTCAAGAGACCTTGCAGCATTTTGCTTTCATATATATATATATATATATATATATATAGTCAATAAACATTTGATGTTCTCTGTTTTTAGTACAGAGAAAATTGTGCAAATGATCAAACTTGACAGCAATGTACATGCATTACACAAATTTGTCCAAAAAAGCTTTTATTTTGAAACTTAATGCTGCACATTTAACGGTGAAACTGAATTAAATTGTGTTGCATTTAATTGAATGTTTTTTTGTGAGTTGGCTTGATTAGATATGTAGAAAGACTTCACAGAAAATAAATGTGAAAAGATAAATCTGACATGGGATCCATGAGTATGCCAAAAAAATCAGTAATTCCCCCAACTCACTTCAAATTCTGTAGCTTAAGATTTCGTTCAGGCTGTGAAGCTTTATTAAGGTTGCGCTTAAAGTTCAGCCAACCTTTGCACAATTTTGCCTCTAGCTATGTTACTGTGTAAGCAGAAAGATTTTACTGCATGTGCATATCACAACCACACATATTGGGCGGGTTTATGATGAAATGTACTTGTATAGTTATTTTCTTTTTCTTTTTTAGAAGGCTGTCCACTCAGAAAAAAAACTGACGCCTGAAATGTTCACTTATATTTGCTGACGGCAACATTTTTTTGAAATATCTACTGCTGCTTGTGACGGCTGGTGCAGTCAAAGGACCTTGACATGATTAAGTGAATGGAGCGAGAGCAGCTGTGGAGGAACATCAGCGTTGTGAGAGAGAGAGAGGGGGAAGTTAATATGGCTCGATAGCACTTGATTTGCAACCCAAACCAGAAAACAGAAACCTCCCTAAGACGAGAAAGATTGAGACAGTCTGTCCACACCCATGAGTGTGGTAAAGGATCATGTGTAAGCAGAAGTGATGGCAGCCATTGCGGAAGATCACAGTACATTGGATCGAAAAAGGTAAAGATGAGGTTTTAGCTGTAGTAGAGGTGACCATGGGATGGAGCTGCAATATATGACAGAGGACAGGGAGGAGAAGAGTGATGATAGCCACTGAAATCCATTCACACTCACTCTCCTGTGAAACTGTCTGCCTTCTGGTCAGAGCGGCCAGGCGATCAAAATCTTATGCTAATGCACAGGTGGCAGATGTTCTAATCAGAGAGATGCATTTAGTTTGAAAACATTTACAGCATGCCGCAAAGGAAGCATTATGTGTTAGAGCTTTTGTTTAGATGAGCTGGAGATGGAAAGAGAAAGACATTCCCTTAATTTGCCTGAATCTTTAAGGGAGATTTTGTGATTACTTTTAACTATTTGACATATTAGTTTATCTTAACAAAAGCAATGTTCTTATGGAAGAAATATCCCATCCAACGCTCAGGAGTGTCTGGTATCCCTTCGTTTTTCATCAGTTAATCAGGGTCGATTAGTGAAGTATATGAAAAGATTGAATATCTGTAGCTTTGCTGGGTAGAGCTAAGGTCAAAAATGCGAAACGTACACACAGCCAAAGATCCATTTGATTGGGAGTTTGAACAAAAGTACCCATTCAACTTATGTCCATATTGAAAGTCTAAAAGCAGATATTGAATACATGAATGTTAAAATAATGTTGCTTGGAAATGTTGGATCATAAATCTTCATAATATTCTTGTCAAATAACAATTTCTCTGAATGCTGCTCAATACATGTCAAAGTACCTACCTAAACTGCCAAAAATATCCAATTTCCTATTCAAATCTATAAATTAAAGTGTTTCAATAGGGTATTGGGCCAGATGTTTAAAATCAAGGACAAATATCTTCCAGTGTTTTTATATGATATATATATAGTCGTTCTCTTAGTGAATTCCAGCATAGTACCATTTAAGGCTGCCATCTTTACAATGAATAAAATTGTGAAATACCTTTGCAACTAAATATTCAACTGTTTTTGGTATTATAACTCAGTTGAAATAATTTCAAATGACAGCAACTTACTCATATAGAGGAGACAGCAGACATTTTTATGTCTATTGCATTTTTCTGTCATTTTTCTGTCTATTTATTGCAAATGAGTCTAGCTACTGTTTTTCTATTGTTCTGTTGTTCTATTTCTGTCCATGTATGTGAAATTACTGTAGTTAAATTGTCCTTTATTAACATCACCAGATTGAAAAACACAATGTTCTGTACCTTTGCTTAAATTTAGTTATTTTTTCTATTGACCTACATTAATATTCAGTTTAGCAACATCAAAATATGTTTTTTTAATTCAAGTCTACTTGAAATTATCGGCCTTCAAGGCTTCATCACTTCCATTTTTCCTGCTTTATTTACAGCTTTTTATGGTAGACAATGGAGCCGATGACTGGAGGATAGCCATGACATATGAGCGCATCTTCTTCATCTGCCTGGAAATCCTGGTGTGCGCCATACACCCCATCCCAGGGAACTACACCTTCACCTGGACGGCCCGTTTGGCATACTCCTACGTCCCATCAAAGACAGATGCGGATGTGGACATCATCCTGTCCATCCCAATGTTTCTGAGGCTGTATCTCATCGCTCGGGTCATGCTGCTCCACAGCAAGCTCTTTACTGATGCCTCTTCCCGGAGCATCGGTGCCCTCAACAAGATCAACTTCAATACTCGCTTTGTGATGAAGACCCTCATGACCATTTGTCCTGGCACTGTTTTGCTGGTCTTCACCATCTCGCTCTGGATCATCGCTGCATGGACAGTGAGAGCTTGCGAGAGGTGCCTGGATCAGTTTTTCAACCTTGGACTGTGCTTCACAGCCCCAAACATAGATAGAACCATAAAAATAGACTAATCACTTCTCTGCTCATTGTTTCCGAGCAACAGAAGAGACTGATTTAAATATAACAGACTGAGCAACACAATAACTATCTTTGAAATCTTCAAAAGCTAAAGATCAAAGTAAAATATTAGGTGTAACTTAAAACTTTTATTGTTTTCACAGGTATCATGATAACCAGGACATAACCAGCAATTTTCTTGGAGCCATGTGGTTGATCTCAATCACGTTTCTGACCATTGGTTATGGGGATATGGTCCCTCACACATACTGTGGAAAAGGAGTCTGCCTCCTAACGGGCATCATGGTTAGTGTACATTGGATGGTTATACCCTTTATGGTGATTTTTTATGCATAATTTTCTCATAATTTAAATATGCCGTTTTTACTTTTTTTCTGGGAGGAAAGTGAGAATCATATAACCTTAATAACACAGTTTACGATTCAAACAGGTCCATATCTATTTGCTTATTAACTCAAATTAGTCCCTGCTCAATTGAAAATAACCATCCTGTCATGGTATAAGATCTAAAACCACCTACATGCAATCTACTTAGCTCTTTCAGCGACTGTATACAAGAAAGAGACACAATGAAACATGAAAGCAATAAGCAAATAAAACTTTATTTGGAATAGAAAAGTAAAGAGATTACATAGTTAATGTCAGCTATAGCTCTGTCAGTGGCTCAGTCCAAGAAAAAAAAAAAAGAAAACGGAGCAAAGGCTACTATCTAAAAAGACATGTAGAGTAAATCAGTAAGAGTAAATAAGGGGAGTTGTGGCCTAGTGGTTAGGGCCTTGCGCTTGGGTCAAAGAGGTTCTGAGTTAAACTGAAACTGACCGCCACTCTGGTTCCCTGAGTAAGACCCTTAAACTTATAATTATTATTAAAGCAATGACTGCACCAAAAACTGCATAAGTAGAGAAAACAGAAAAGAGAGGTTTGTGTCCTCCATCTGTCCAACCCTATAGCAGCATTATTACTATACCTCAGTGACTTATATGAATATTTGAGCTTTACCAGAGAGTAACACTTTAACCCAAGTCTAAAGATTGTACGTAAGAGGATGTCTGCCTCACATAAAAACTAACACTTTTTTAACAGGAAAGTAACCTAATCTCTCCACATACTTTGTACAGAGTAACATTAACACTGCTAGAGGAACCAGCCACAGGGGTTAACAGTATGAGTTTCATCTAAGGAATCCGATGTGGTCAAAAGACCAATTGGGGGGGAAACATCGAGGGATTTGTAATTATGAGGGCATAGAATGGCCCTGGATATAAACTTAGAAGATAATGTGTCAGCTGTGACTTGTCATCAGGTCTCTTCATTTCTTTTCCACAAAATGAGGTGAACAATTTTATTCCAGCTCTTTTACCTGTGTTCTTTTAGGGTGCTGGCTGCACTGCCTTGGTGGTAGCTGTTGTGGCAAAGAAACTGGAATTAACCAAAGCTGAAAAACATGTTCACAATTTCATGATGGATACCCAGTTAACAAAAAGGGTATGCCAGTATTCCTCATTCAAAATACTGTTTTTTTTCCTCCACTCCTTTGGTTTTAATCCTTGCTGTATTTTTGCATTTACAGGTAAAAAACACAGCTGCGAATGTTCTCAGGGAGACGTGGCTCATCTACAAAAACACCAAACTGGTGAGGAAGATGGACCACGCAAGAGTCAGAAAGCATCAGAGAAAATTCCTTCAAGCCATTCACCAGTAGGTTCCGCATCCATAAATTAATTCATTATATCATAGGATTTTAATTAAAATGATCAAAAACCTGAAATCTGAATTGTTTGACACCTGTAGCAAACATACATGTGCTCATATCAGTCAAGAGTGCTGCGTTTCACACATAGCATGCCAAAAATATGTCAATGTGCTGGTTTTAATCATGCTTGTAATTTAATACAGCTGTTACATTTCATTAGTATGAATGCTCATTATGAAGGAAACATGAAACTTGGTTTACCTTAGTATATTGTGGTGTTTGAGCTGTTATTGATTCGTCTCTTGCTGGCCCTGTGCTGCCAGATTGACTCTCGTGTATCTCTTTCTCTGTGCGTCAGATGTCAGGCTGACCTCAGGGCTGACACATTGGTGTTTCTGCTTCTCTGGTGGCCGGTCCGGCACCTACCTGTCAGCTAGTCCTTTAGTGGCTCCCCAAGGACTTCAAAGTTACTCCAAAACAGTATCGATTTTAGCCTCACCTCGCTGTTGTTTTTCCTCACGCTACAGTGCTCACCGACACTTCTGCTCTGTGTCCTTTATCTGTGGCCGCTGGAAATCAGCGCAGAGCTTTATCACGAAAAATAACTGTAGCAATCTAGTTAGTATATAGCATAACATTTCAAAATGTTTTTGTTGAGCACATTTGTTTTCTTTCTGTGGTTTGACTTTGTGCTTATGAACATCTATAGTGTCCCATGTGCAGCTTTAATTTATCCATGGATATTATGAAAATGCATTTCTGCTTTAAAGATATTAGGAGACATAATTATGAGACAGGGAGGCGAAGTCACACAGAATGCTTGCTGCTAATTCTCCTGCTATAACTTGCATTCAGATCAGCAACATTTATGGTTGATTATATCTTATTCTCTATGTTAATATAAAGGCAGCTTGCTGCAGAAAAGACAGGGTCTTGTGTCCATTTCCTGTTCTATGGCCTTAGGGTTGGTTAGTCCTATAAAGGGAGTTGCCCAGAGTGGCAGCTTAATTTATAATAAACTAAATCCAGTGGGGAAAAGATCACATCCAGCACACAGCTGGGTGAGAATATTGTCCATATTGATCTTATAGTATATTTTCCCTCTTTAGTCTGATTTAGAGGGTTCAAAAGGTTATATTAGTGTTTGAAACAATCTGTAGTCTACATGTTTTGTGTCCTACAGTATTAGGGAAATTCTTGTTTGAGATAACTAGCGAAAAGATGCATTAAAAAGTTACTATTGATAAAGCAGCTGTCATAGATTTTCTTTCTCCTAATTTTCTCATCAATTAAAGGAAAGAGCTGTAAACTGCTGCTAAATGACATAGACACTTTTTGGCACTGCCTCTGTCCCATATTGCTTCAGGAATGTTTCTAATAGTGTAAATATAATCAAGATGGTTGATTTAATTTACTCTTCTGTGAATATAACAAGATTAGCATTGGGGGTTAAAACGGGATTCAGGGTATGAGCACAGCTGCACCAGAAGTAGTCAAAATATTAAATAAAGAGGCTTTGTTTTTAGGATAAAGACAGCTATGGTGAGAATATTACATTTGTCGGTTATTGACATGGATGCTGTATACATTTTCTGATAATACTCTTCCATTTTTTTTTTAAGTGAAGCAATTAAATTATAAACAAATATACAGTTTTAAAAAAAAAACAACTCAGATGGATGAGTTGTTGTTTTTGACATAGCTTTTCTCTAACCCAAACAGGGTCGAAGTTGTGCATCCAGGCTGAAATATGTACAAAAAACCCTGCATCAGTGCTAGGAGAAAAGACTCTTAACAAACTGTGTAAGCATGATCCTTTAGCAGTTTGTTCTAGAAAAGTAATGTTTGCCTGCTTAATCCAAACATTTACTGATTGAATCATCCATTCTAATCTTAGTTTAATCGATCTAGTTGTTAATTTGAGGTTAAGTTTAAAAAAGAAAATCCTGTTTTATACTTATTTATATATGACCACTTTGTGCAACTAGTAAAATCCACAGACAAACATCCCTGTCGCATGATAATGCTACAGCCATGCCCGTGTTGATTAAGTGTTTCTTTTGTTGGAAAGCCTCGTGGTTTCTCCTTCTAGATTAGTTATTGTAAATGTAACCTGTCTAATTTATAAGAAAACTTTGCTACAGGAAAACTTTTAGCTTATCCGAGTGGGAAGCTGCAAATTTCAGTTGTGGTTGTATATTTCTAAGAGGCCACTCTCTCAGTCTATGGTGATGAAAGCCTAGCTTTACTACTGTGGCCACTGTGTTCAAACATCTTAAAGTTCATGCATTTGGATTGACCAAAAAAAGATTTTGGGATAAAAACCTGAACTGAGAGCAGTCTTGGCCCCAAAAGAAGTACAAAACTCATTCCAGACTGTGTAGATAAAACTGGTGACTAGCTTTGTTGCGGACACACATTGGACAAGCTAGAACATAGTTTTTAACATCCTTATATATTGAAGGCTACCAGAAATTACGTCTAAGGCATGTGAGAGTTCGGTTGATTCCAGGATAGCAGGAGAATTTTATCATGCAGGCCCAGTGAATAAGGTGGGACCTAATGGAAGCAGGAACATATACATGGTTCGGAGTTCCAGTGCCATCTTGCGGTTCAGACCGTTAAGCCTTCAAGGATTGATTCTTTATTTCCCACAAGGCAGGAAGGTTGAATGACTGTTAAGATATTGGGTTCCTGGTAACTGGAATATTGCCTAGACAAGGCATCAGGTTTCGTGTTTTTAGAGCCTGGATGGAAAGAGATGACGAAGTTAAAATGGGAAAAGAATAGAGACCAATGTGATTTTCTAGGTTTCAGACTAGGGGTGTAAATCACATCCATCATGGCGATTCGATTCAGTATCGATTTCCTGACCCAACGATTCGATTATTTTCGATACTCAAGAATACACCACGATTCGATTCGATTAATCGATTCATTGGTTAAAAAAAAATTTTATTATTATTATTTTTTTTACACCTTACAGGCTAAACAAAGTTTCCAGTTTGAAATAAATCAATGAAAGCTGTAATATCTTTATGCATTTTTTTTAGAAACAACAGCAAATAACAGAAGTAGAAAAGTTGCATTAAAAAATACTGCAGAAAATCAGTGCAATGAGTTCAATTCAATACCTCGGCTCCAGAGGGTTGACATCCCCGCCCCCTTGAGAGACGCTCCGCTGCTCCTCTCCCAAATTGTAGCTGACCGCAAACAGTGCCGCAGACAGGAGGCCGGCTTGTTTTGTTTTTATGACCGAAATTGCGGAAAACAACTCGTGAAGTTTGATCTGCTAGATATGGCAAGAACGCTGGAACCCTTTTTCCGCCTGGATCTCCGCTCTTTTTGGCCCTCATGTCCCTCCGTCGTCGGACTAAACTCGTCCCCACTTCTTCGCCGCCTCGGCCGTATCTAGATCCACAGTGTGTAGCACAGACCACGCTTCAATATTGAGCATAATTTAAAAATGTCTGTGTCAAGCTTACTGTAACACACTGCTGTAAGAGTATAACCAGGAAGCGAGGTAGGAGGGCAAAAAAGGTTTAGCGCCACCGCAGTACGGGAGGTAGAATTACTCCCAGGAGCAAATGGATAAAAATAGACCTGAGAAAAAAAAAAAAACATGAATCGATTATCTTGCGGACGTGTTGATGCATCGGATCGTCGGCTTTTGGATCGATGCATCGATACAAAACGATTATTATTTACACCCCTATTTCAGACATTTTTCTTCTTGGAGATAGGACAAATTCTTGTGGTCAGTCCCCACAATAACAGGATGTTGAACTTTTCTCAACCAGAGGTGACACTCTTCAAAAGACATTTTTATGGCCAAGAGCTCTCCATCACCCACATCATAGTCCTGCTTGAGACAAATAGCAGGAAAAGAAGGCACATGGACAAAGTTTATCATTGTCAGAGGAAATTTGAGAAAGGACTTTAACCACCCCTAAATCAAAGGCATCAACTTCATGGACTATTTTTCTGGATCTGGGTGAAACAGAATCAGGGCATTGGCAAACTTTGTCTTGAGCTCCAAAAAAGCCCTTTTGATTGTAGTTTTTCGTGAAACTCCGGTAGAAGTTGGCAAATTCTAAAAATGTTGTAGCTGCTTGCGATTTGAGGGAGTTGGCCAATTGGGAATTGCCTGTCTTCACATGCCCTCTATCAAGATGGGTTCTCTGGAAGACATTGGAGAACTTGACACACGTGGGTCTTATGTTTGAAAAGGTCCAAAACCCTTTAGTAATACACAACTTAAAAGTACCAATCCCTGGGATTTTACATAAAATATTGACACAATACATTTTACTTCATAACAACAAACCACTTAATAAGAAACCTAATATGTGTATAGTCCGCAATAAAAGTTTATTGATTATTGATAATACTCAATGAAAACTTTTCTTTTTTTTCTAAATCGAAATCAAACAACGTTTTTACTATAGACCTTAATCCTCATTATCACAATATCACCCTTAATAATATTTAATATTAATAATGATCAAAATGCATAGTATAATACTGAACAGTGATAATACTTAACAATGTCTTTATTTTGGTTCTGTTTAAGATTTCTTCATTAAGTTTTCATTGGTTTTACTTCAATCTTGTGTTGTTCTAGTTATTTTTGAGTTCCTATGCATTTCTTGTTTACCCTCTGTTGCCCTCTTGTGTCAGTCTCTTTCCCCTAGCTCCCTTCTAGTTTCGTCTTTCCACACCTGTTACTCGTCTACTTCTATTTCTCCTCCCATTCATTCTGTCTCCCATATATACTCCTTTTGCTCCTTTACTTTTTGCAGGTTCCCTGTCATTTCTTTGCCCTTCATGTGAGTTTTCCCTAATGTTTTTCTGTTCTTCTGTATTCTTGTATTTTTTTTATTTTTGCTTCAGTTGCCACCTTTTTTGTTATTAAATCTGCAAGAAACCACCTCAGCTTCCGTCTCTGCAATAGGGTCCTCTAAAAACCTCCACTCAACCTGACAAATAATGAATTATAGTATACATAATACTTTTCTTAGGTCTTGTTAATTTCCATATAGCCTATTATTATATAGTATCTCATTATCTGTATACATTTTCCTATAGTTTGACATGATTTTATTTTATCACTGCAGCTGTAGGTGGAACTCCTGAACAAAATTACATGAATGGTGGTAGTAAGATATTGCTAAGGGGCTGTTTAAGGTCCATGCTTGCCGACAAAATATTTACTTTAAATAGATCCATTGATGGTTAAAAAAGCATGATTGTGTATGGTCATATTTGAGCCTCTAAATGTAATTTTGACCATGTGGAGTTTTGAGAAAATCCCAAATAAATTCAAACTCAAAACAAATTCTTGTTTTTAAAGTTAATTAAGGTTTCTTTGTGGTACACACCTTTGAACTTGAGAAAAAAACTCTTCAAATACATTATTGAAAGCTTGAAATTGAAATGACATTCATGTCAATAATCATCAACTCAGAGGTTAGAGTGAGATCCTAAGAGTTGCTCAGCCAAACCTATAGTGTCATATTTTTTTTTTTATTTCATTTGAATATGTTAATCTAATGTTGTAAAAATTGATTTGTCTACTTCATGTTCCCTTTTTTTCCTGTGTGTCGACACAATGCAATAGAGCTCGAAAGTAAGTCTTCGCCTTTAATGTAGATAGAGACCTGTTGTGTGCATGCCAACGAGAGCTTGTCCTTGAACCCGATGATGCTACTAAAATATGGCACTCCCTCGTTTGATAAGTGAAATTCATGCTTTTAAAAAGATGCCTTTTGCATCGAATCATTAAGTTTTCAAGTTCCTTAACTTGCTTCAGAGGACTTTATTGGGTAAAATGTATGGTAAACATAATTGAAAACACAACAAAAAAATATCTTTTTAAGATACTTTCTATACTGGCCACAACCACATATCCATGAATTTTACTTATCAGTGATGGAGGTTGTTTTTCTTTCCATTTCTGCATGGATGTGATGAGCCTTTGACCTTTAATCAGAAAGCTGCTGATTAAACTCCAATCAACTGTGCTTTCACATACCGAAGGATGACAGTTAGTGCTCCCCCATACAGGCAGGCCTGTTGTTTTATAATTCACGACATCCTTTAAATACTTTCTACATGCAGCGGAGCAGTTGTCCTCATATAGAGTAAGGCTGGGAGGGGTCATCTTTCGGCGAGTGGAACCATTATTGCGCATTTGCAGCTGCATTTTCCTCTCATTTCTTTTTGATGACTCAGTGGCATATATCCAGGCTGTTAAACAGCACAGCAACAAGGATATTCATCAGTCATGCAAGGGTAATTAGGAGCGTTTGCAGCATAAATGGTGTAAATGCTGTTGAGGTCGTTTGGATCAGACATGGTCAGTTTACAAACGAATGACTTACGTTCTAGGCCATAACAGCTTAGAACTCAAGTGTGGCTGTACAACATTATGCTCCCTTCCAACTCCACCCCCCAAAGCATTACCATCATTCTCATCCTCAAGGTTGAAGTGGGGATCATAGCAGGAAGCACCATAGCGAGTGCTTGTTAGTTCAGAGATCATTGAACTGGAGAAACAGAGAGTGACCTGTGAAGAAGGTCGAATGCAAAGCAATCCCATTTGTGTCAAAGGGAATGTGACTGTGACTACCAGCATGACACTGTCAACAGCGACAGCCTGGATTAAACAGGAAGCAGGCTAACGGAGATGAAATAATGAGTTTACATCACCCCCATCTTTTTNAGAAAATTGTCATATTAAACTTATCTAGGAGGATTTTACCGTTGTTAATAAAACTGCATAGGAAATTTTGAATCACTAGCTGCAAATTCTCCACTTGTGATTTTTATTTATTTTATTTTTTTATATCACCAAAAGAATAAAAAGTAATTTCCTAAAGTCCTCAAGTCTGAAACAAAGCATTTTCCAAAGAATGGTTGGTACATTTGTCATGTCCTGTTGCAGGGTTAAAACCCTGTTTTCAGGGTTTTTTCTTCTCAGTTTTTAAAACTTAACTTGCAGACTCTCTACTATTAGTATATTTTGAAAATGTATTTTTCAACAGCAATTTATTTCTCTACCACAGTTGTGAGATGCTCAGTTACAAGTAGACAGAGCATGTGTGAAAAAGCAGCAAAATAAAAACATTAAAAAGACCTTTGGAAAAACTGGGGCACTGTTAAATAGGAACTTTTTAATAGAGGTCTGCTCGCGTGGAAGCTCTATTAAAAATAAAAATATTTAAATGTTTTTTTTCTACAGTAATGTGCATCTCTCTATCAAAATGCATTCTCAATTGTCCCAAACAATACTTTTTATTCATATCAAGGATAGAAAAAAATGGCCTCCAATCAAGATATACATTTATAATCTACACAAGTGAAGAAATGTGTGTTCTTTTCCATCATTTTCCATCATGCTTTGGAAATTCTGGTCAAATGTCTTTCCTTAGAAATTAGAGATAAAGAGCCAGGGCAGCAGTACTAACTGGGATTGCCTTGAAAGATTTAGTGTGGCGTTGAAAAGCTGAGCATAGCCGATTTCCCCTGATGAATAGCAAGCAGATTTAGAGTGCTGGTTGGAAAGGGGAGAATGTCCTAAGAGGACTGATTGACCGAGCTGGAGGGAAAAAAAGACTGAATTTAACATTTCATCATTCTGACCTTAAGCTATTTTGTTTTTGTCAAATGTAAAATTCTATTTTACACCAAAAAAATCATATCCATCTGGACTTTATTGAACACCACCTCCCTCCTTGTTTCATTTATTTTCTTAATGATTAAAGCAATAGGATGAATGCTTCTGGACTTATTTCTCAGGACGTTAACAACATTGTGTTTGTCTTTATGACTCCTGTGGCGCCCTCTGCTGGTCAAACGTATCATGTTTGCTACACATAATGTCTATCAGAAGATAATTAGACTGCACTGCAATGCAAAACCTGGAAAGATTTCAGCTGACCATCAGACCTTTTGTGCACCATTTTATTCTTGAAAGATATTTTTATATATATTCCATAGATGGAATTTACATCTGGAAAGTAAAATCATAAGTGCTTATTGTGGTTTAGAGGAATTATTGTCTTGAATCCATGTTTAGTTGAAATACTGCATTAGAAAATTGCAGATTTTGAACCCCCTGAGAAAATAAGGGAAAGGAGACTTCAGGGACCTAATTAAATAGGCAATGCAATTCCTCAGATTATATCTCTCCAATGAATAAATTAACTATCCTCATTTTAGAATTTGTTTTTCCCTAAAGTAAAAAAAAATTGCTACGGTTGCAGTTTATGTTTCACAAGAGAAATATCAAAACCAAAGCTAAGCATCTTATTCCAAAACAATATGTCAGGTTTTGAGCATGTTTGAGGTTTTCTAAGTTAATACTGAAACTTTTCCAAAAAGGGAATTGTTTGAAATGAATTGCAATAAAAAAGGTAAACATTGCAAAGCAATGCAAATAACTGATTTTCTTTTAATTATGTCAAATTTTATCTTACAACATAATATGCAGTACATTTTATCAGGATTTTATTTGATATGCTCACAAAAACTTGTGCACAATTGCAAAGAATACACACAAACAGGGCTTATTTTTTACGCTCTTTTCTAATAAGAATCTCAAACGTGTGATTTAGATTTGTATTCAATCCAAATAATTTGATGCCCGAAAATTAAAATCTAGTGCAACCAGTTCATAACCAAACAGACTACAGTTTTGTCAAGTTTATAAAAATATTAATGATAAGCTTATATACGTTGTGGTATAAAGCAGGTTAGAGTTATATTCTAAGGTTAATATTCTAAGGTGTCAACATTTCATGAAGTACCATTCAATGTATTATCTGAGGATTTATAATAAGTGACAACTGCAAACCTACTAAGACAACCTCTGACAGGCCAGAGAAGGGCAGCAGTTATTAGGAGGAGCTGCTAATATGAACTACTCAGGTAGGAGGATCTCTGGACACGACAAACTGTCCCCATAAGAGTGCATTCTTAATGTATGACATGTAATAGGACAGTAACAACAGTAAAAACTATTTTCTTTAAAGAAAGGTATTCATTTTATAAGCTTTTAAGGCTGATTGTGTTAAAGAAGAGAAAAACATAATTCATTGAAGAAGGTTCTCCCATCAGAAAAGAACAACATCACACATTTGGGCTTTTACAAATAGCTGTTCCTAATAATGTTGAAATAAACTCAGTATTAATTTGTGGGGGTTTGATAAAATTTGAAAACTAAAATTTTTTTACTCCAGTTTAAAATTATGCTCTATTTAATGTTAGTTTATCTCATAAAATTGCAATAAAATGTGCAAAAATTATGGTTATTAGTTGTAAGAACTCACAAAACGTCAAATGGAAGGATAGAATATAGATGAAACTTGATGTCAACTGTTCCCATCCATAGGTAGCATTGATTTATGCAGAAAGAAACAGATAAAATACATTCCCTGTATTTTTACAAGCCAAATACCAGCCTAGACTTGAAATGTGTGGATTTTACAGAACATAGAAACTCTGAAACCTCCTTCCATCCTTTGTATGGTAAAACATTGGTCAAAAATGCAGAGCTTGATCTCGCTCTCCCCCCTCCGTGGCCTCCTTCCGAATTGCATGCAGTTCAGACAGATTGCCCTGCCTTCTCCTCCTTTCTTTACTTCCCTCCAATCCCTTCATTCTCTACACACATCCTGTGCATGTCCCAGGAGTGCTCTCCGTGTGTATGCCCCTGTGTGTGCACAACCTAGAAATTCCTTATAGCGTTTGTTTTACCGGGTTCTGAATGGTCTTGTGTTCAGATTGAGAAGTGTTAAAATGGAGCAACGCAAGCTGAATGACCAAGCAAACTCACTAGTGGACCTTGCTAAGGTAAGATAGACTATTACACTGTAAATTAGCTTTGTTTAACTCCTGTGAGTGGGCTCAATGCATGCTTTTTCACTCACTAAGTTAGTTGGTGTGTAGACAAAGTCTACAGGTGTCAAATAAACAGACAGGCTTCACATCTATGTTCTGTTTTAGCGGCACTTACCTGAGATTGTCTGGGTATGACAAAATAAACCCTCTTCATTTTACCGATAGAGGTATTATTCCAGGGACATGTCCTCTAAAAATATATATATAACAAGCTTTCTTTTTATTTCCAGCATAATTTTCATTTTGTTCACCTTTAGAATCACTAACCACAAATGGACCACCCTCTGGAGGACAGTAGGCCGGGTGCCAGCCTGACAAAGCAAAAACTCTTAACCTGAGAAGAAAAACACACTGTGATCTGATGATTCATCCTGAAATAAAGGCAGGGGAGGGGGTTTAATTATATATTATTTATTATTATTTTTGATATTTGTCAAAGTATAGGCACACTTGTTGACTTAATTAGATTTTATGTTATCAATAAAAAAAAAACAGTTAAAGGGAAGCCAAAAAGATCTGGGCACACAATATTTGGACAAATCTTCTTTAGAAGACAAAAATCGTCCTTATCCATCTACCCCTGAACTCTAACCAGTAAAGTTTATCAAAGTTTAGAGGTAGATGGATAAAAATAATTACACAACAATTGGAAAAGAGAAAACTAGGAGAAAGAGTTGACTAATGGTTTGTCTTCAATAAGCAAAACATTTAAAATGGAGCCAAACTGTAATGAAATACTAAGATCAAAGCACATCTATGTTTTAATTTTCATAGAAGTTATAAAAATTGTATTTTGGTAGAATATATAACTAATAGAGGCCTAACAGAGACATGTACCCAATATAACAACCCTGAAGCAGTGTTTTTATATTGATTTGGGAATATGAATACAAAGCATGCAAGTTATTTATTTATATTTTTATTTGATATTGTATATCCTTCTCCATATACCTCACACTTATACATTATTCTGTGATGACCAGTAATATAAAACCTGATTACCACAAACAGGCTTAAATTGGAAGGCAACCAGACCTCCGCCCAGTTTTTTAGGAAGTTTTCACACCTATCCAGGAGTCTTTGTTCATTCTTTTGGCTCAGACCAGAGCAATCTCTAACTGGAGCGCTAAATTCCATCCTCCTGAGCACATTTCATGTCAGATGCTAATCAAAGAGCTGCCCTTTGTTCTTCCGGATTGTTTGAGCCTTTTGTTGTGCATGCTCTATGTGAATGTTCTTTTGAATCATAATGGGAGTGCTTATGTAGTTTCAAAACATCTTCAAAAACTGAGCAAAAGTCTGGTTGCCTTCTAATTGTAGCCTGTTTGTTACTGCCATGACCCGGATGAATGAGAATTTACACAGGCATACACCCTGATTGAAACTGATTTACATTTGTGCCTGTAAGGTGGAAAAATCTGAAAAAGTTCAGAGCTTCAATCTTTGCACGAGAAGTATTTATGGATTCAAAAATGTAATTTTAAAAAGTAACGCTGTTGTTACTGACAGAAGTGTCAATGTTTAGCCAACGCTGCAATAGATGAACAACCTATTTCATTATCCCTGCCTTATATCAGAAGAGGACACGGTAAGTGATAGATGACATTGCCTCCGGCTTGCCAAGGATTATAGGGCTTACAGTGAATAATGCCTCAGATACCATCCTCTGACAGATTTACTCCTAAGGCATGTGCAAAATGTTAAATATATGTTTTTCTACATCTGATGAATATAGATGCCTAAAAGCTCGAAAGAGGAACAAACTGCAAAAAGAGCGAAAAGAGACCATATTTTTTTCTTTATCCTTAAGCCCAAAAAAGTTCATACTTTGGTTAGAACTAAAATTAGATTACTTGCAAACTCTATAAAACTGGACATTCAGGGGTTCTGTGATGATGACACCAGCCATGAGCAACATTTCAGCAATGTTATTAACAGCGTGTTTAACTTTTTATTTTATTCTCTTCAGGTTTCATTCTAACAATACAGTGACCATATTTGCACTGCATTTCCTACCAAAGATGTTGAAAATTAATATGTAAATTCAATTGCTACTTTTTTTTCAGTCAAAATGTTGCCTAAACTTTTCAGCAAGGGATTGGCTAAAACAAACAAACAGTTGGGAGCATCCCTTTGACTTGTTTAACCCTCCTTTGAGGAGTATTCATTTACTGCAGTCCCTATTTAAACCAGTGGATGTCCCCACAGCTCAAAGAGGAACATATCAGGGAAGTGCATTAACAAGGGTAAAATGGGTGTAAATAAACCATGTGTCTTAATTTAAGGTTATTCAACATTTGAGATAAAAAGCTGATTCCTAAAGAAAAAGAAAGAGTGTATAAAACTTATCTGAGTAACACAAACTCAAATCCTGTCTATCCCATTTGTTTCTTTGTTCTTTTCAGAAATGTTTTAGATTCCTTTGACAGCAATTATATTTAGTGTTTGTTTGTTTTTTTTTTATCTTGAATTGATTTTCAGGTCAACATTTTTCACCTTTTGCTTTTCTTTAAATAGACATACCTAATTTGATAACCCTTGAAATCTAATATTTGCAATGTGTAAAATCTGTTTGCATTCTACATTGATATCATTTCAACTATGTTAATCGCCTTAAATTCAGTTTGTTTTTTCAGGTACTTTTTTAAGTGCAATCTGCATCCTGGAATTAAATGAATTAAGAAAGTATATTTGTTCTGAATGACCTCTCTATTTTTTCTTTCTTTTTTTTACAGAAAGACCAAAAACTGCAAACTTGAATAAATGCAAAATAAATGTTACAGTGTATTGATATCCTTGTACATTATAATATTTCACAGATTACTAGTTATACATGGATAATAGGTTGAAAAATGAATTGAATCAAGATAGTTTCTTCCTCCCATTGCAGACACAGAACATCATGTATGACATGGTGTCAGACTTGAACGAGAGAGGGGAGGACATGGAAAAAAGGATTGCCTTGTTGGAAACAAAGCTGGAGACCCTACTGACTAACTTGCAAGCTCTTCCTGGACTCATCAGCCAGGTCATCAACCAGCAGCACAGGGACTTTCTGGAGGTGCAGCTCCAGCCTTACGACAAACACAGCCCTGAGCGCTCGCAGTCGGTGTCACGGAGGAGGTCATCGTCCACAGCACCACCCACTTCCTCTGAGAGCAGCTAGAGTCCAAACGGGGAATGCCTCCGCTCAAGACTTTTGCCATCATATGGCCAAGTTGCATTTACTGTAAAGCCTTATGGTTTCAATAAGTATTATCCAAATTCTGATGACAGAATCTGACTTACTGGGGACAATGCATTTTAAAGGATAACTTCATGCTGTTCTTATTTTTATTACCTCAAAAAATGATGTTATCCAGGCTCTGGTGTTAGACTACAAACAATAGCCCTTCCCTCAGTAATAAAAGGGGCTCTGACAGAAACTCTACTCCGTCTCTATGCAGAGGTAGCCAGCTCTAGGTGTCAAGGTTACCAGACGTGAAACTATTGCACTAAAGTAGTGCTTCTCATGGACTTTGCACTTCTGCTGGCTTTATAGTTGCAAACTGAGAAACTACTGAGAATTCAAACAGAGAGCATGTTAGAAAAAGGATCAAAATAGTGAAGTAAAACACTGGATGGCAGGTAAATATCACTCCGAGAAATTGTGGCTGAAAGATAACGTAAAAGCTTAAAATGAGGAAACAAACATGCATCTCTTAGGTTAGAAAACAACTGTAGTGGTTTTCCTTTACAGAGGCCCCACTGTAGACTGATTTACTTATGTTAATTTTTTTTTTTTGGGGTGGTGGGGGGGGTGCAGATAAATTCAAATCAATTGAATGCATCAAAAATCTGTACTTGCACTTAATTTTTAATGAATGCACTTCAATGCTGGCTAACATATGTTGTGACAATGTGTAACCCATTAAAAGAAGTCATTTGGGCATGGGGGTTTTTTGTCAGTTATCAGTTTGTAGTTTTGTCTAATTTACAAAGCCCCATTTTCTTCTTTTTTTTTTTTTTCTTTTTTTTTCAACTTTTCTCTTGATACAAATGCATTCACTTAGGCTTGTAGAGGTCTATAGAAATGCACTGAATCATCATAAAGTGATTCCTCCCATGTGTTGCTGTGTCTCAACTCCTGTTCTTCTCTCCTGCGTTATTTATCCTCTCAGTCTTCCAAGCTGGGCAACGAGATTTGCTGAACAAAAACTGTAAACCCTATATACATTTTGAATCTTAAAAAAAGACATATTTTTATATATTTTCACAAAGACAAGCACACCTCTTACAGTAAATAAATGTCAGGAAAAAATATGACGAGACAGAAACAGCATATTTGGAATATGGTTGAAGAACTCTTAAGAAGGAGATTATTTGTCTGAGTTTTTTTCAGAATATATAAAGGGAATGAAAATTCATCTAATTAGGCATTGGACCCCATTGTTAAACCTTTTAAAGAGTAAAAAAGATCTAATGGTCACTCAAACATGAAGCAAACAGATGTGCAGTCCACAAACATTAACAACGTAGAAACCAATGAGAGATTCTGTTGTATGCAAGTGAAATGATAAAACAAAAATAAAAAAATACCCAATTAGACTGGTTTCTGTCCTTTTTTCTTGTATGACACATTGAGATTAAAAAGACGGGGCGTGTTTATGTGCTAATGTTAGCAGGAAACATTATCTGCCCCCCTGAAAAGTGTGTACAGTTTTTGACAAATTTAATTAAGTGGGTTAAACTATTAACCTTGTAACCCCAGGGGAAATTTATTGTTGGATTAAGTCTTAAATACATTAAAAGAAAAAGGCTGCCGGACAATATTAAGAAGATATATGGCAAGAAATAAATACATCAGCCCTTATTTGAAAGACATTTAAGAACAGATTTTTCAAAAAAATTTTGTTAAATCTTTGTTAAATCTGTCAGAAAAGCTATTACTTTGGAAACCTGCCATGTCACTAGGCCATTTTCTAAAAACTTTAAAAATGTAGTACATATGAGAACCTTCCCAGGACTGGCCAACCAAATTACCACAATACATCATAGCCTCAATCCAGAAGGTCAGAATAGACCCCAGGTTAGTTAAAGCAGAATATTTTTGGACATCAGTTTGTGACCTTTAGGTCTACTGCAGATGTTTAATGTAGCAGAACAATGATCTAATGAATATTTCCAAGTTGACATATGAATAGCTCAGAGGAAGTTTCTTGAGTTAGCTAGCCAAAGTCTGCAGTTTAATCTGCATCAAATGCTGTGGTGTGACTTTAAACAGGGCATTCATCCTAAAAAAAAATATATATAAAACTTTCCAGAAGAACTAACCCTATCCTGTAGAAGTCATCTCATTAGAAAAAGATATTTACTTGTGTCTTCAGAAATCTGAAAATAACCTGTTTTATATTAGCTTTTATAGAAGAATAGCAAAAAAAAAAAAAAAATGAAATTCTAAAAGAAGGTGAAAGTCTAATTTGCAGATATGCCAATGCATTAATGGACCACAAGAAGGTGCTCTGGTAAGATGACAACAAAGCCTTTGGGGTTACAAGCCAAACGAGGTTAAAAGCAGATTTGATGGCTTTTAAAAATTAGCCACAAAATAACTTACTGAAGTAAAAGTGAAAAATATTTGGTAAAAAGGCTATTGAAGTGCTGCATTATTCAGTTCAGCTTATTTAATAGTGTCAATTTAAAACACGTATCCTCTCAAGGTACTTTACAGAGACAATTCAACCAGATCATGCAATCAGATTGGTTGAAAGTTTTCTATCTAAGGAAAACCAGCAGATTGCATAGACATATTGACTCGACAGCAATCCCTCACACTATTAACTGATGATGGCATTTAATATTTATCTAATATGTTATTAACAGACAAAATATAGTTCTGTGAAATTCTGATATAACAGAGACTAAAATAAAAATGTTTTTATTAATATTAACATAATTGATAAAACTGGGAAAAAAATCAGTGCAAAAAAACTTTAAAAAATAGCTTTCTTCAACATAAATCTTATAAAACCAATACACAAAGTAGAAAATGTATACATTTTTAAACAGTTTAAAGTAAGTCCAGGGTCAATATCTACTGTTACCTCTGCGTTTACTAGACCTGCAGTTAAAACAGCAGGCTCAGCAGATAAAAAGTTACACTAAAATATCAAAGCTTAAGTAGAAAGAGGAAATCAAATTTTAGCAAGGAGTTACTATAAGTATGACGCATGTTTTATCCAAAAGGAAACTAAATTGTCCAAACTCGTGAGAGTCCTGTGAGTCAAAACGGAGGGATTCACAATCACTACAGCCGTTGACATCGCGAGACTTCCCGTGAACTATCATACAGCGGCATTTCTGTGTCGTGTGCATAGCATGCTAAACCGCTAAACGCTGCCAAATAATTCGTAAAAATCCCGAAACTGGTTTGTGAAACGATAACCATTCAAAATGAGCATACTCGCCAAAATAGCGGAGATAGAAAATGAGGTAAGGTAAACATAAAAATTCTAGTTAGGAGCGGTTAAGTTGGTCACGTTTTAGCTAAGAGCCAGCTGTTAGCGTTAGCATAAATGTTCTGAAACCTGGAACAGTTTTTGCCCACGTTTTTTTTTTCACAGCTGTTAAGTTAAATTCTATCTATTTTACTTATGATTATATTGTGGATTAAACACCGCTATGTAACCTATATTGATTTTCGAAATACACTGACTAGCACTCAAACTGAATTACATATTTTACTTAGAACAACCCTGCCTGACCATACGTAAAGCAGACTCTTTGAAGACGTGAACTAACTTTAGCTGAACTAATTCGGTGTAAATAAAATTAGTAATACAGCGCAAAAAAATATTACAAATCTTATATTTTCTTTATTCAATTTTTATTATTTTATATATTCTGTTATTTTAGATATTATTACATAATACATTTGTGAGTTTCCAGACGTACAGTTTAGTTTAATCTGTAGCAGTATAATTAGAAAAATGTTACAATTAAAGTTGAATATAGGGTTATATGTTTTTGTTATTTTTATAGTTTTTTAATTTAAATCATTGCGATCATTAAAACTAAGTGAAACCTTTACTCAAAATTTTGAATAAATAACAATTAGTAACATTTTTGCAATGATAGAGAATTATTTGTTATACCTTGTGTGTTGAATTTTACTGACTTGATTACTAACTTAAACATTTACTAATAAAGTGTGTTTTAAATGATCCTTCATCCTCTGTTTCAATGCTTGTGCTTTTAGTAGTAATGGGTTGATGAGGCGACATGAAGCGTTTCGACACATTGCAAACTTTTATGCTACTGATTTGATAGTGTCTCACTCGGTACAGACACCTGCTGGACCTTTAAATCCCTACCTGCAGCCGATTTTTGCATAATTTGTCATTCTATTTTAAATTTTATCATCTCATATCTTAGTTTAAATTTAGGATATCTGTGGTATTTTTATATGCAGTCAAATAATCTGAACATATATCATAAAAGGATATTTTTGTTGAAGCTGTGGAAGATGATGCTTGTGGACTTGGATAAAAAAAAAAAAAAAAAATATATATATATATATATATATATATATATATAGCAAGTACGTTAAACTAAAAGTCAGTTTGAATTACATTTAAATTCAGATAACTCGAGTGATCACTGAGAGGAACAGGATGACGTAATGAGAAAATGAAAAATATGAGATCAAAATAGTCCCACATGGCTGAAACTTTTATTTTGCCTTAAGGCTGCTCCATATTTCTTGATGAATTTGGTAATGAACCGCAAAAGATCAGAGATATTATTAGCAGATGCATCCTGTTGACAGATGCACTTATAAACACAGTTTTTTGCATCAGTCAGTTCAAAACAATATGCGCACAGACACAGGGATTTGCTCTATGAGGTGCCGATGCATCTGACCCACCAATAGCTTTTAGCCATGCTGCGTTAAATGTGGAAAATACTCCTTAAATAAAAGCAGTCCTTTGCACAGAACAATCTTGCACAGCTTACCCTACCATACATTTCCTGTTGATGCTGATCATTTATGTACAAACATGTCTTCCATCCCATAGATGGCTAGGACGCAGAAGAACAAAGCCACAGCTCACCACTTGGGTCTTCTTAAAGCACGTCTCGCAAAGCTAAGAAGGGAACTGATCACACCAAAAGGAGGCGCCGGGGGTGGAACAGGAGAAGGTAGTATCTCCTTATTATTGTTGATCTCTGATATAATTGCTCAGTTACATTTTTATGAACCTTAACCAAAGTTTGTTTACTGTAACCCTTCAGGTTTTGATGTGGCTAAGACCGGTGATGCCCGAATTGGATTTGTTGGTTTTCCATCAGTGGGAAAGTCCACCCTGCTAAGTAACCTTGCAGGTGTCTACTCTGAGGTTGCAGCCTACGAGTTCACCACTCTTACAACAGTGCCTGGAGTCATTCGGTATAAAGGAGCCAAAATTCAGGTACAAACATTTTTACCTTTTTCACATTTTGCAGAAAGCTACAGGTCTATTAGTTTCAAATGTCCATCACTTAATTTCTTTCTTTGTAGCTTTTGGATTTACCTGGAATCATTGAGGGGGCAAAGGATGGCAAGGGGAGAGGCAGGCAGGTCATTGCAGGTAATGCCGGAATCTTGATATTGCTGTAAAAGCTTAAAAAAAATAAAGATAAGAAGTGTTTTTTTTGCCATTAAAGTTTCCAAATCTTGATCTGAATGTATGTAAACTTTTTTATTATAGCAGGGTCTCTACCCAATCTGGAAAAGTATGAAATGTGTTTCAAGGTTTTTTTAGGTCTGATAAAGTATGTCAAAAGGAAATGCAGTGTGAAAAAAAATATATATATTGAGTATTTCTTTCCTATCCTACTGGATGAAAGAACCATTCATCCATCCAGGCATACACCTTGTCATTTTGCCTACCAGTTTTCGATTTTGCAAGATTCATTTAGAACACTGGTCCTAACTGAACTATGACATTTATTCAGAAGTTAACCTTTAAGTCTGGGAAAAAAATATAACATTTTGACTTTAGCCATCATACAGAGTGTAATTTATACACTACTTTTTTGAGCTTGGTTCAGTTATGATTTCACAGAAATAATATAGCCTATAAGAAATCTAAGATTGTTTTGTTTAGTTATGTATATATTTTATAACTATACACACTGTAAACCTTAGAGTATTCCCTTATCTAAAACACTAACTATTCTTTTCTTCTCTCCATTTCTCTCCCAGTGGCTCGAACCTGTAATCTAATCCTGATAGTGCTTGATGTGTTAAAGCCTCTTGTTCATAAGAAGCTAATAGAACACGAGCTGGAGGGCTTTGGCATCCGACTTAACAAGCAACCGCCCAACATTGGCTTCAAGAAGAAGGACAAAGGAGGCATAAACTTTACTGCTACAGTATGTCACATTTTGCTGCAGAGCCTTATTTACAGACCTGAAAAAGCTCATTCATGCACCACACTTGGAGATACTGAAAAGGGGGGGATACATTTGTACATGTTTTACTACTATGAAACATGTTTATCTTTATCAGCTTATCTTTTAAGATGAAACATATTTACATATATCAAACAGTAAGATAAAGTTGAGTTTCTGGATCAGCTCAACTCAACACTGTAGGTGTTTATTCAGTATAACTATAGAGGAAACACACCAGGCATGTCTTGCCTCATGTGTGTATAGCATTAAATGCTGTATGAAGTTTGCATGGAGTGGCAGATCATGCATGCATAGTTTAGCACTTCGCACAACAGAAAGAGGTTATCAAAGGGGAAAAGAGAACTATATGTTTGGGAAATACATGTCAGCATTGAAAAATTGTGCCAAGACATTTTCTTTGATGCTAAGTACTGTAGGTAGTTTTGGATAATGATTCAATAGGTTTGGTGCTGCTCTTGGTGGGTGAAATTAATTAATATTCATCAATCCACATTTTAAAGTTCAATGAAATGTTTTATTTTACATCTTTTTTCATGCCATCCTACATGTCCTTTATCTGTTATCAGTGTGCACAAAGTGAGCTAGATGCGGACACGGTTAAGACCATCCTGGCTGAGTACAAGATCCACAATGCTGACATCACCCTGCGCAGCGACGTCACAGCTGATGACCTCATTGATGTGGTGGAGGGAAATCGGTAAGCTGCTGTAGCAGCCTTCACCATTCTTTTCTCTGGGTGTGGCTTGTTGTGTGTAACGCCATGTCGGCCGGTATATCCACAGCAGCACAGAGGGGCTTAAACCTCTGGCGGTAGATCTACTCTCTTTTTCAGCTAATTTAACTTATACTTAATCAAACACATGAAAAAAAGGCAAATTTAATTAGGAAGGTTTGTGTTTGATCTATTTGATGGTCTTTGTAAAAAAAAAATCTTTCTTGGCAAAAACCCTGTCTTTAAATGCAATCATATTTATAAAGGAAATCCATTTGTAGGTAGAGCAGTGCAGTCGATTAAGTCGGTTGCACCCTTGAAAATCTTGACAAATCTTCTCTGCCAAAAAGCTTATTCTGCTATTAACTCTTGCGTGGTGGATCTATTATTATTATTTTTATTTTTTATTTAAAGAAATATACTAAATTCTAATTGAACAATTTACTCAACAAAAAAAAATCCTTCCTGGTATATGGGGAAATCCAGATAACCCCACATCATCCATGCAGCTATTTTTCATGCTAATGATCAGCTTGGTCACATTGTCAGAAGGTTGTATTGGTTTTCCTTGTAAATATAAAGTGATTATTTTTTTTAAATAAAAATTTACTTCACACCAATTAAAAAGCTGTTATAGTTCTGAAACCTAATGTTTCAGGGTACCGGCAAACCCAAATAAGCTAATGCTGTAAATGAGAGTGAGAGAAAGTAACTCCACCGCAGTGTGAGAGAGGAATTAAGTGGTACTGCTAAAGGAGAATATACACATTTCATTGTTTCACCGTGCCTTTATAGCCTGGCTTTATTAAATTGTCTGTGACACTGTGTGATATCCTGCGCATTGCTAAAATAAATGTCACATTATAGTCTATGCCTCAGTTCATGTTTTGAGTGGACGGCAGAATGCAGTTAATAAAGACAGAGTTATTTCCCTATGAAATTTGGTCAAATTTAAAATTACGAGTAAGTATTTACTGTCATAATTTTTCATCAGGGTCTACATCCCGTGCCTATATGTGCTAAACAAAATTGACCAGATCTCCATCGAGGAGCTGGACATCATCTACAAGGTGCCTCACTGCGTTCCAATCTCTGCCCACCACCGCTGGAACTTTGATGACCTGCTTGAAAGGATGTGGGACTACTTAAAGCTTGTTCGCATGTAAGAGTGGATTGATTTCTTCTGTTTATAATTCTCTAGTAATTGTGATTGAACCAGGCTGAATTAAATGGTTTGCATATGCATGTTCCAAAATCTGACTGAATGTGCTCATTTACAGCTACACCAAACCCAAGGGCCAGCTCCCTGATTACACGTCCCCTGTTGTTCTCCCTGATGGTCGAACTGCAGTAGAGGATTTCTGCTTAAAGATTCACAAAAATCTCATCAAAGAATTCAAATAGTAAGTAGTTAAGAGTTGACAAAGATCTAAATAATTTGCTGTATGTCATAAATTTTGAGAGGTTTTTGTCTAGAGCACACATTTCAGGAACTGGACTTGGATAAGTTGAAAAGAAAAGTAATTACAGTGAATGGTGGAACACAACCATTTACTGTTGATTGATTTCATGCATTAGAAGCAGCTTTTTTATATATANTTGGATAAGTTGAAAAGAAAAGTAATTACAGTGAATGGTGGAACACAACCATTTACTGTTGATTGATTTCATGCATTAGAAGCAGCTTTTTTATATATATATAATAGATAGAAATGCAGTCAATTATGGAATAATTGAAAAAAATATCCCAAGAATGCTTTTTGTTTTTTTTTACTCTTGAACAAATGAGAAAAAACATGGTCAAAATGTGTAAAAGATTTTACAAAAATATGTTTAGATGCTGCTATTAAGATATGGCTCATTTGAAACATTGAATTAAAATATAATTGTAGAAGACAGGATTTTAAACCCAAACTGGGTGTAAAGTCAAGAAAGAGCTCTTTTCAAATGCAGCACCGGCATATTTTAGAGTAAGACAAATGCATGTGACCTCTTCTCTTTTAAAGGGAGTTCTTTTATCCTTCACAGTTTAGAGCGGTCATATTAGTAACTCCTTGGTAAGTGCAAGATCTGGCATCTGTACAATAGCACAGTTAGATTAATGATGACCCTGCAGAGGTATTTTACATGCAGAGCAGTTTCAAGATTTGCATGCAACCTAAAGCAATAACAGGCACTCTTGATCGAACTCGGCAGCTGCAATGCATTTATACTCATGTACTCTACTCTATAATCAAGACTGTCATTTAAAAGGTGTAGGTTTGTTGTTTTGTTTTTTTTTATTTATTTTCTAATGAATAAAATTAAAACTCCAGATTAATCTAAATTACTTGTGCATTTAAGAGCCAGACTGAGGCAGTCTTAGCCAAGTCTTAGCCATCCTCAGATATTTAGTGTTTCTGGTTAGGTCTCAAATATAGGTACGGTCATGTTTTTGGTTGTTTTAGGACTCATAAGGTTATTTTTGTGCTCAAAAAGATGTTTTACCAGCATCTCCCGATGGGTGAGCCAGAGGCATCGATCATTCTGCGTAATTGCCTCTGGGTTAAATGTCCTAAAGAGTGGATGGGTCCAACTGTCACATGCAGTCAGATGAATTATTTTCTTTTTATTACCTAAACAATGACTTTAGCTATGTTGGTCTCTCTGCAGTAAATTGATGAATTTACTTAATAAAATGTTTTTCCCTTTCTTTTTTTTTCAGCGCACTCGTGTGGGGCTCGTCTGTGAAACACAACCCACAGAAAGTGGGGAAGGACCATGTTTTGGAAGATGAAGACGTTATCCAATTGGTTAAAAAGTGAACTGGCTCTCGAAGCACTGCATGGCTCAGCAAATATCTCCCATTTTTACATCTCTCATGCGGTCAACTTGCTTGCTATGTTGCATCACATTTAAAAGAACCCACAGTACCGAACGCCATAAATAGTTCATATTGAATGTTGGTAAATGCTTCCATTAAGAACCTAAAGCTGTACAATAAAAATATCAAAAACAATTGAATTTGTCTGATTTCTTCTTCCACTGCTCCCTTTTCAAGTGAATTTCACTATAAAATAATTTCAACTTGCACATGATTTAAGATCAAAGCATATCTGCAATGCGATGTAAAGCATTTGTGTCACTGCGAACATTTTAGGCTGGCTGAAGAGGTTTAAAAAAAGAAAAAAAGAAAATCTTGTTTGAAACCACAAATGATTTATGTGACATTGATGATGAAGCCAGTTATTCATACTGATGGATCCGCTCCCCCCTCCCCTATGGGGTATGGCCACTCAGGTTAATAAGTACATTCGCCCAGATGCATTTTGGGGGTCATTATATGAAAGCTGTTTGCAAGTAACAAAATTCCAGAGAGCAAAATAAAGCTTTTATTATCAGCCGTAGGTGCTCTAGTAGCTTTTAGTAAGCTGCATGCATTGCGGAGGGTAAAGAAGTCATGTTTCTGCAGAGATAAGCCAGTGAATAAAGTTAATGGTTCCAGTGCAAAGATGAGCAGCACATCAAATTTGGTTTGGATTTCAATAAATAAAAACTTAGATTTGATTATGATAAAAGTATACTAACCCTTAGTTCTTTGTGCGGGATTTTCAGTTTTTTTTTTTTTTTTTTTTTATAAAATTTTATATATATATTTTATTCTACGTACGCTATTAGAAAATCCAATGACTCAACCTGTTGTGTTATATCTCTTGAAATAATGTTCTTGTACATAGTTCTAAATTAATTTTAAATGATACAAAGACAAAATAACTTGGTAATCAACAGAGATAAAAGTGAAAAATCATCAATTGTACAGGAGTGTATGATTATCAAGGCTATTTGTACTTTTGACTGATTATCATACAGAATAATGTATCAAACAAAGGAATTTTAAGATTGGTTGCCCCGATTTATCTTTGCACACTAGTCATTTGAAGTATTTAGTTTCCAGCAATTATGCTTATGTCCTTAAATTTGTTGCATAGTAGTGTTGAGAGTCAAGATATTGTTTGAAAGCAAAAGTACGAAGAAAGTGGCAATTGTAACATCAGAAGGCTGAGAAAAGGAGATAAGACTAAATCTAAGTAACTAGCTGCTTTTAATAAAAGCTGCAGTGGTGGAGCATGACGTCTACTGTCCAGCAACAGCAGGATCAGCCCTCCCCAGACACCGCCTTCACCCTACCCCCCCTTTTACCCTGTAAATTATAGCAGCACTTTAGCTAATGAAAGAGTTGAGGACTGGGCACTAATAAAAGCCATTAAGTGAATAAAGCACTTCCCCCTCTAACAAAATTAAAGAATCCACCCATTTAGAGAGGGCGGACTCTGTATTAATATTTATGAAATGCGGAACCGTCCGCCCCCACCTACCCCAAACTCTACCAACCCCTTATCCAATCCCAGATTGACCAAGACTTCATTGCCATAGCACCTATCCCAAGAGAATGTCACCAACCCCTCCTAGCTTGAAGGAGGGGCACAGGAGATGGGAACTTGAAGGCTGCTGAGGACGCAGTCAGGACAGTCTTCCACCAGTAGAGCAAGCTGGAAGACCCCAAGACACTTCTCATATGATCCAGACGCCTTCATCACCCAACATCAACGCAAGGTAAAGAGATGGAAAGGTAGATATCCCAGAAAGAAGTTTTCTGAAAAAATCCAAAGTAAGTTAAAAGTATTTGATTTACAGTGAGTTCTGGATAACTTGATAGACCTGATCTCTGTCAGAAGACAACTTAAATTCTGGTTTGTCTTTTCTAATGCTTAAATTCAAAATCGAGATTTATAGATTATTTGGTATCAGTCTCCGAGAGGTCTCTGTCAAAATGAACCTACTGATGACTTGGAAATGTAAGGTAAGAAAGCATGACCAGTGCATTAAAACCATCCCATCATCTTTACCTCATATCAATGAAACATGCTCACCCTAAAACCTTTAACCGCCATCAGCCACCATTTTCCACAAACGCTCCCAACTCCTAAGCCATTTGGTAAATTCGAACTGCATTCTTTTCTTCCTTTTTTTTTGTTGCATTGATATTCTTATGGCATTATTTCATCAGACAAAGTGGTTGAGCTCTAAGTTGATTATCGCACCCAGTTTTCTCATTTGAGAAAGACGTCCCAGGGGAAGCTGCAAGAGACTCCAGAGAAGGTAACAAGATTGAGAAACCTTTTGGGAAAACGACTCCCTTAGATTAATGGTATCTTAAAGCTTGACATTGCACTCACCGGCCGATAACAAGGTTGAGACTGAGATGTAAGACTGGATTGTGTCTTTGCGGTGAAGAGATGGTCAGTGTCCGCAAATGGAGAGCAGAGATATCCCTATAATTCTTGAGGTCAGTGAGCCACCGAAGCTCTTTTAGAGTCAATTACAAGTTATATTTGTAGGTCTGTTCTCTTTGAGATGCAATCAGTCTTAGTAAGATCTGCTAAATTCAGTTTACATTGATCAGTCGGGTAGTACTTAATTGACTCGTAAGACAAAAAACAAGCCAATGAATCTTCGGCCTGTTGTAAAAATTATCTTGATTTCCTAAGGCTTATTTCCTAAATCAGTTGAATTTTTTTGTATTCTTTTTGTTCCGAAGTGTCTCAAAGATTTCGGGCGAGAGGGTGGGGTTTGACGCAGTTCGCGCACAGAAAGGGTGTTGCCCTTTTTTTCCGCAGTGACCATGACCTATGACAAATTTTTCGTCTTAATTATCCTGCAGATGTTTTTAACCGCAGGATCTAAGTATAACAAAATGTTGTTTTTTTTTTACAATACAATACAACGAAACACTTTGGCTTTTACCTAAAAGCAGTTTCTGAATTTAACTGGGGGCAAAAGAAAAAATATAAATGTATAAGTTTTTCAGGATTATAGCTTCTCATATTGAAATATGCATTTCCTAAGACATAATTAAAAAAAAATACTGTTGTGCAAGATTTTTCTACTTTATAATCCTTAATGTCCTTTGGAAGCAATCTGCAGAGTAAGACTTGGGTGCATTGGCTTTGCATTGGCTATTCTCGTCTTTGCCCAAGACCCCATTGTGCTTGATCTAACCATGCAGTGCATCTTCTGTCCATGGTTGTGCCAAGCACTTTGGGGTTTTGTGAGCACACTCAACAATCTTCTCCCTAGCAAAGGTATCAAATCATTTTGCACATTTGTAGTTCTGCACTGGTTTAAGTGGGTATATTTTTGATGTACATGTTCCGATAACAATAGCAAACCATTGAATAAAAAAATCTGCTTTTGGTTTTAATGAAACTGTCTTGTCTTACTTCATAATGCACATAAAACTGTAAAAGTCTGACTAATAAATTAAATTGAAACCCTCTTTGTGTGTTACTTTTTTTTAGCTGAATAAAGTATAAAACACAAGGGAAAAAGGGGGGGGCTCACAGTGTTCATGGATTTCCAAGCATTTTTACAGATAAACCTGTCATTATCTCCAAGCTTGGTGGTCAAAATATGTCTCGTTAGTGGAGACAATCAATTACAGTAAGTGCTTGGTGGCTTTTAACTCTGTCCAATAATTTCAGTCCGTAGAGGTCATACATTAAAACAATGTGTCGCCTGTCGAGACTACAGATGCGTCACAGATGGGTAAATCAAACTATATTACACTGCTACACAAAATCTGAAACACACAAGTGGCCAGGATCAGTTTATATTCCTGAAATGATTATGAAATTACAGAACTCTACTCTATCCAACACTCAGCTCCTTATTTAAATTCAGTCACTGTTGTTTTATCAGAATAGACACACTGAACTAATAAATTTCATTTGTGAAAACCAGACTCCTCCTTTCCTTATGTCTCTCCTATTGCAATCAATTTATAGTAGTCTTCTGTTTTCTTTTCTTTGTCTTAAATAAGAGCTATATTAATTTAGCTATGATTAGAAATGATAATGAATCACAAACCTTGCTTTATAAATGGTGGGGTATTTCATGAAGAAACATTCAACAATAAATCTGTAAGTGTTTCAAAGGGTCATCTACATATATATTCACTGAAAAAAATGTATATAATCAAAACTTAATTTACTTTTAAAACTACAACTTATTGTTGTTATTTCTTTGTTTAATAAAAGGGACGGTAATGTTGAGAACATTTCAGAGGTCACTGAAACGCATTGCAACCCCATGACACAGCTTCCAAATGTGGGGATGAAGAACCGAGGCAGCTGCTTTGGCCATTAGTGAATTAGATCATAACTCTATCAATTTTATTTACTTGTTTGGCTTGTCAAAATGTCTCTGAACAAAAAAGAAATGAAAGAAAATCAATACAACTGCAGCACTTTTTGAGATCCTGCAAAGAGGGCACAGAAATAACACTCAGATAAAATACACTATTAACTTTGTTTTCATCTGATCATTAATCAAATAAGTGCAAAAGTTTGAACTGACTTTGATTTTTTTTTTTCTTTTTGTCTGTTTCTAGTTTGTAGGAAAATAAACTATGGAGGACTTAGATATTTTTCCTAAATGCTAATGCACACTTTATTCTACCTTGATAAACTGTATAGACATTTAAGAAATGAATGAAATATTAAAGAAATGTTTAAAGTTTAAGACTTAGATGTATATTTATTATATTAAGAGTGATAGATAGATAGATAGATAGATAGATAGATAGATAGATAGATAGATAGATAGAT